GTGAGTGAGTGAGTGAGTGAGTGAGTGAGTGAGTGAGTGAGTGAGTGAGTGAGTGAGTGAGTGAGTGAGAGAGAGAGAGAGAGAGAGAGAGAGTGTTGTGTGTGTGTGTGTGTGAATTTGACATTCGGGCGAGAATGCAATAATTTCTTTCCTCGTTGAGAGAGAGAGAGAGAGAGTGTGTTGTGTGTGTGTGTGTGTGAATTTGACATTCGGGCGAGAATGCAATAATTTCTTTCCTCGTTGTTTCAAGTCAACGTTAAGTCCAACAAGACGGGACACGCTCACGGAGTCGTTTAGAGGCCAAACTAATTAACACCACTTTTTACAATTTTTCCAATTCCATTACCGAAGGAAAAATAAATTATCCTGATAATTCTGTTTACCATGGCGAGATTGCACGTGCTCTTATTGCTGCTGGATAATAAAAGGCACGTTTCAGAAGCTAGTGTGAAAAATAAATGAAGAAGTTAGACGGCTTTGCAGAATAAAAGAAATTAAGTAACCTCGTAGAATAAATGAAGAAATGAAATATTTCTGCATATATTTTAAACGAAATTTTGCACACGGATTTCTACTTTTTGTCTCACAACGTTTCACCTCTTGATCATTTGCATTTCTCGATCGGACAAAGTTCCACGACTTGTTTGAGCTTCTCTTCTGGCGAATTTTTCTTTGATCACCGTTGTTGGACACCTCTTTTGATCTTGTGTAGAGAGTCTTCCGCAGAACTAATTCCGATATTTCACGTTCGGTCGATAAATTTGACGGAGGTGTAGAGATTCAGCTGTGAAAATGAACAGAGTCGCGAAATGGATATTTCGAGAAGCGTCGATTGTTAGTTTTCTTAATTTTCGACACGTCGATGATATTTCGACGATGTAACGCGCTAAAATTAATCCTTGATTACTTACTTTTGTATTCTTTGTCAAATTATTATTAAACAACCTTGAACTTTTTACACTGCACATCACACCACTTTTTCAAGTACACTCTTTTTTTTTTTATCGCCTCACGAACGTAGAAAATTGTACGATAACCTTGGCTTCTATCGGAGAGTTAGCAGCACTTCCCCACACTTCAAGGTTACATCGATTTTTCCTTAATTAAATAAAACTTAAATATAAAACGGAGAACAAATTTTATTACGAACTTGAAATTGCACTTCAGAAACAAAAGTTTAACCCTCGAAGTTGTTAGTCTGATGAATTTTTGTGACCTTTTGAGAATTTAGTGTTAGATTTATCAGTCAGTTAGATACAACAAAAATTAATCTAACGCCTTACTAGGAAGTATATATTACTTTTGTATCGGAGAAGTCCGTTTAGCCTTACCACCTCTGTTTAGTAAAGATCTAAATGTTTACGATACGGTCCCAAGCGGGGTCGTAGACAATATTAGGGCGTTGCGTAGGAGCATTCTCAGTCCATAGACAGTGCTCTTGCCATCAAGTAGAAAAGCGAACCTTCCTAGTGTCTAATAAAAGTTTACAGTTTAACCCTTTGCGATCGGTGCCGCCATAGTGGCGGCATTTCAATTTTGTTCTAGAAATCGGTGTCGCCGCTATGGCGGCATGATCTTTGTTTTGTCAAGTATCATACTTTGGAAAATTACAAAAATTAAAACGTTTTATTTTTATGCACTATAACTAGTATGTATTAAACAAAATGTATCAGTTTCAAAATATTCTGTTTTTCAATATCCTTATATATATAATAAATAAACTATGCAAACATAACTTTGAAAATTTAAATTTGCTTCGACTAGCTGATAGTCCAACCAGAGAAATGTGCCGATCGCAAAGGGTTAAAGTAAGGATTATTAATTATTTAACAACCAGTAACTCCCATAATCCAATATTTAGAATTCCTACTTTCCGCATTGTTTAACCCTTTCGTTACTATTGGCGCCCATAGGCGTTTGGAAAATTTGCTCGCACTGTACTGTTGGAGTCTTTTGGTCCATTTCCAGCGTAATTTAATACTTAATTTTATCCTATACGCACTTCCACCGCACTTAATAAACCAAATTGTAAAATGATACGGCCGAAGTAATAAATTTTGCAGCCGTAGTTCAAAATTTACCTTCAGTCGACCAACTTATGCAGTAAAATCTGCCGTAGCGAATGGGGTTAAAAACCAGCGAAATCTCACTGATGAATCTGAGATTGGGAGGAATTTGAAGTTGATAAAGGGAGATATGTTCACTCCTTGAGAATGACAATCATGGCAGAATTATTCCATTCACTGTACCCCTTTTGCCGCGGCAAATTTTAGTGCGTAACACGCGTTGCAGATCATAGGTGTTCCATCGCGACGCAAAATCTTTCGTTGTGGCGTTCTAAAATATTTAAAAAGTCTGAAAATTAAAATGAAAAATTTATCGTTTTCAAATATCTTTTGTTAACCTCTTCAGGGACGATTTTTTTAAAGTTAGAAAATATTGAGCTAATTTTTTATGTAGTTACACATTTATATTCGTGTTAAATCGATAGCAGTTAAGCTACTTTCCTTAGGAGATTTTTCGAGATTTCGGGAGATTGTGTTTTTCATATTTTCTTTATCTCAAATATTGGAATTTTCGCAGAATCTAAAGGTACACATACGCGTCGGTGTCCCTGAAGAGGTTAAATTAAGGCGGAAGTGTGCCGAGGACAAAAATTAACGCAAAAGTGCACAGCGCGAGAAAATTTTCAAACCGCTTATGAGCATTAACAGCAGTGAATGTTAGAATATTCCAAAAATTTGTAGAATCGTAATTGTGAGGATGAGAGAGCGACGGTAGCCAGGCCCAAAGGGAAAAACCCCGGCGACAAGAGGCTCACGAAGGGCCTGGCTATGGAAGGGCAGTGTGTTTGAAAAAGTCGAGAGGCGCGAATCGAAGAAGCCTGTGTCAAAGCCCAATGTACCATAGATAAATATCTATATACTTATATTTCTGATCCCACAAATTAAAATTAAAAATTTATCGTTTCTAAACATCTTCTGTTAAATTAAGGTAAAAGTGTGCTAAAAAGCGCCAAGGGCACCGCCTATGAGTGTTAGAAAGAGTGAAAACGGTGAAAAAATATTCCCGATAAAATCGTGGAATAAACTGAACAAATTCCCCATTACACTCTCACTCGCCTTGAGAACCAAATATTCATCTCTTTGCGCGCTTCCTCGAATCAAGAGCGACGCAGGAATTCGAAAATCCCATCTTCTCCGACTCGAAACCCCTCGAACGGCCAACAAAGACTTCAATGCCGTACGATGTCGCTGTTGAAACGGCTCTTTTGAATGAACGATGGCGTCCACGCGAAGACGAATCGTCTCCTTCGATCGTAAATTTGCCGCAATAAAACCGCAGGAACGTATCGAAGCTATTTAGGATCGTCTTGCTATTTTCACCACGGCTATTCCGGCTGTATGCAACTTCATCGATCCAACTTGTTTTGTTGCGAATTCCTCGGCGTCTGCTGTGTTGTTGTGTTTTGCCGATCGTTCTACAGTCTGAGAACATGGCAAACGATGTTCTTTCTGGGAACGTTTGGTTGGTTTTCTGATGTAAAAGTAAGGCGTTACATTGTTTAATCTGTAGAACGGTTGTTAGAACAAGATGTGGATTTTTAGGGAGGAGGTTGTGAGGACTATATTTTTAGTACTTTTTTTTTTTTATTTTAGAGGATGGATAGTCTGTATGATATTTTTTGATACATTCGATGCATGTTTATTTGTTCAGTGAGGTTAAAGTCAATTTGGAATTTTTCGCGTAAACACTATAACTACGGTATTTTTATCAGGTAGAAAAGCACATTTACACTACCGGCCAAAAGTTTGGAATCACCGAGCATTGCAATTTACACCAAAATTTGCAGAAAAAAGTCGACGACTTTGAGAATTTCTTATCATCCGAATCAGTTGATATGAAATAAATTGATAAATGTAGAATTGAGATATACTTGAAATCTGTAAAAAATTAGCAGCAGATTTAATATCGATGAAAAGTGGGAGGTGATTCCAAACTTTTGGCCGGCAGTGTATATCCAGGGAGCAGTATTTAACTGTTTTTCGCGAAAAATTTGTACTCTTCGAATTATGCCATTACCCATACTCTGCGACCATGAGCTGTTTTTCAAAGATGATTTCAGTAGATCAAGCTGAATTATGTGTTAACGTTCTCTTGAAGAGATATTAATCATATTGATAAATCAGCAGAATTAATATAGAAGAAAAGTGGGGATATCATTAATATCTTGTGGATATAAAATAAGAATACATATTTTCGTAGAAATGTGATTGGAAAGCAAAGGAAAAACTCATTAGTCTCGACCAGATCGTGCTAACCCTACTTTTATTGCTTTTCTCTGACTCAGAACGCCATTAACAAGTAAAATGGTAAGAAAGGAAAAATTCCTTTAGGAGGTAATCCTTCTGGATTAAATATATGTATGAATGTAATTTTGGAAAAATATAATTTTTTGACTAATGTAGTGATCGTGCAAATCGAGGGATACCTACACCAAAAATTCCTGTAATTCTCACCATTCCTCTATTTTCTAAAATTCATCACAACTTTTCACCTTCTGATTTTATTTTCTCGTCTTTTTTTTCTTTTTTGATCAATTTACATGGTAAAATGTTTATATAGCTTTATACACGTATACAGTTTCAAAGTCGTGATCGCGTGAAGCATAAGTCGATTGAAATCGCGAAATAGCCGGTTTCTAGTCGGTCACACAACCCTACCGTCCTCTATTTTCTAAAATTCGTCACAACTTTTCACCTTCTGATTTTATTTTCTCGTCTTTTTTTCTTTTTTGATCAATTTACATGGTAAAATGTTTATATAGCTTTATACACGTATACAGTTTCAAAGTCGTGATCGTGTGAAGCATAAGTCGATTGAAATCGCGAAATAGCCGGTTTCTAGTCGGTCACACAACCCTACCGTATCTTCTTTCATTGTACTTTACCGTTCTGGTTTTTCGCTTGTTTCTATGGGCGGTGTGATGTATAATGCAGATAGAGATGGCAACAAAGTCACAACCGTGGTGGCTACACCTGGTGCTGGTCCAGATCGCCCCCAAGAAATCTCCTACACAGACACTAAAGTAATCGGTAACGGCAGCTTCGGCGTTGTCTACCTAGCGAAATTATGTGACACGCAAGAACTGGTCGCAATCAAGAAAGTTCTTCAAGACAAACGATTTAAGGTAAGACAAATAGAAATTCTTTTGATAAAGGGTCTAGACCAGGCATAGGCAACCTTTGCTAGTTCGTGGGCCAAATTATCATTCTGTCTCCGAGTCTCATGGGCCGGACCAAATTATTAAATAAAATAAATTAATATTAAATGAATTTAAACGAGTAAATTATTGATGTAAAGCTCTAAGTAAATTTTATAACATAATGAATGACATAACAATTTAATGCGAAGATTGAAGACAAACTTCGCCGAAATAGATTGGGGCCGGGGGTTGCCCACATGTGGTCTAGACGAATAAGCGTAGTAACGGTGCCCCTGAACCAAATGAAACGTGTGATACGTCAATTGATAGAGCTTCCTAGGTGAACCATTTCGACAAAGTTTTAACTCTCTACCCCTATTATTAGGGTAGTTATCGACCTAAACATCATTTTCATTTCAGACTTGATTTCTTTTCTCCTGTCCGACAAAAAGTTATGAAAAAAATCTGCGACACTATAGCCAGAGTGTTACATATCTGAGAATTTTTTCAGATTTTTTGAATGAAAAACATGTTTTTAAAAAATTAAAGGGGTATTCCCATTTGGAGACGTCATTTTTAGACGATCTTTAGGATAACAAATTATTGGATAATTGTAAACCTAGAGACTTGAAATTTTGCATACACGTTTGGTTATGTTCCAAGAACACACAGTGTAATTTTTATGAAATCATCTTGATTATTGTTTAAGTTATTACGTATTTCCCGCAGTGTGCCATTTTGAATGGCTGTATCGTCCCTAGTAAAATAAAGGAAAAAGAAAAATGCGTTTTGACAAAAGTATCGTCTTTATCAAGAAAGTTTTTACTTCTTCAGGCGATAAAATAAAAACTACTGCAAACATTGACATAATTCTAGTACGGACGATAAAGGGATATATATTTTATACGTATACGAGATTTGAGAGAGATTAGTTGATTTATTATAGAGAAATCATGGTAGCTAGTTTGCAAAACACGGTTTCGAGAAAAACGCATTCAAAGTTTTGCTATACTTAGCGTTTCTAGCGATGCATCGCTTTTTTGAAATCATCGTAACTTCGCCGTTTCGTCGATTTCAGGCGTAAAATTTAACAGGTTAAGCGCCATGTCAGTCACCGGCGACTGACAGTATACTTTTCGTTCGGGCCGCGTCAGTCGATATACAATTTAAAATATGATATTCTTCTATTAATCAATTTTAAATAATTTGGAGATCATAAAAGGATGTACCTAAATATTACTTGTTACCAAAATTTTAACGAGTATTATTAAAACACATGCAGCCTTATCGCAACCTTACACAAATCTCCGGCCGCCAGAATATCGGTGAAATCGGAGATAGCAGACTAAACGGAAAGGAAGACAAAACGGGCCTGGCGCTTAACGTGTTCAGCAACCCATTTTTAAGATATTATACTTTGAGAAAAAGCAATAAAAAAAATGTCGACTTTTAACCCCTCCAAATGGGAATATCCCCTTAATACAATTAAATTGTTAAAAACGTGAATTATATTTTTATACTTCGTACCGAATATTTTGAAACGAAGTAAAATTGATGTGTCTCATTTTCAAAGAATTATTTTAGATTTAATATTAACACTTTACCCGCGGGAGTCGCGTATTCCTGACTATCACTGCTAATGCTCTTCAACGCGTGTTTACATACGATATCATCGGTGTCGTGTTCGACTATCGCGGAATTGAGACGTTTATTTAAAGCACATAAGGAGATTAAAGTATATATTGAAACTTTATTTAATGAAACTTAATGAAACTGTTTAATCGTAATAAAAAGGTACAATTATCACGTATATACACAATCATACATATCGATAGTTTTAACGTTGCCTATACAATTTAACGCGTTGCAAGTATGCTCGCAGGTAAGGTGTTCAAAATGGAATTAATACCAACACTTCGGAATATAATGGAATTGAGTAAATGTAATAAAATTGATTTCTCTCTATAAATCGAGCTGAAAGTGAATTTTGAAAATGAATTTGAAAGTCCTCGATTCGAAGGAACGACGATAAAAAGAATTCTGACTTTCAATTTCTAAGCAGAATCTATTGGAATCACAGGATAATACTGAAAATTAGAACAGCAACTCGACCGATAGATCTAGCTATCTTTCAACGCTCGACCTAACAATCATATCGGCCAATTCGTATTCCACTACAACACTAAATTATGAGAAATTATAGTGTAGCGAGCTGACGAAGGTCTGGATAGAACAGACAGATCGTTCTTCTCCCTCGAGCGAGTATACTCACGATCAAAACTAGAGATCATTCCAGGCGCGTATTATAGTAATCCTGTGATTCGAGGTAGCTGTGATTCTGAAACAAAGCTCGGAGAACGCAAGCCTATATTTAGGTCTTTATTTTGACTTTTTGATCCTGGAATACGATTGCAAATTAGATTGCAACACGAAAGGAATAAACCACCGAGCACGAGATATAATTGTCTTCAAAATTTGTATTAGAAAACTTTCTAAAAGTTCAGTAGAAAATTTAAAAAGAAAAACACTCAAAGAATAATGTAATAAAAAATTTGACAGAAATTTTTATGCAAATGCAGCATGAAAGGAATAAATCTACGAGCATGGAATATAATTTTTTTCCAAATTTTTAATATTAGAAAGATTTCAAAGAGTTTCATAGAAATTTCACACGAAAGAAAAACAATTACGCATGGATTATAATTTTCTTGTCAAATTTAAGATATTGAAGAACTTTCGAAGAATTAAGTAGAAAATTTTGCAAAAATTCTCCAGCGAATATTTCCATTTTTCTCTGATCTGAAATCATTTCTTTGAAGATATTCAGGTGTCGATAAAGTTGCATCCAGTTTGTAAGATTACTCTGTCCGAGAGGCGATAATCCGCGACCTTAATCGTCGTATTAAATCTCGAGATGCAACACGGCGAACCAACAAGCAACGATTCTAATTAAAGACAAGGAAACACACGGTGGTCGTGACAAAATAAACACGGACGAGGAACTACGTGCATTAATCGAATTTTCCTTTGTTTTATTTATAGAACAGGGAGTTACAAATCATGCGGCGTCTCGAGCACTGCAACATCGTCAAGCTGAAATATTTCTTCTACTCCAGTGGTGACAAGGTGAGCTATTTCGACTGTTTCCTTCAATCTTCTTCACTTATTACTCGATTGAAACTGAACCTAATCTATTCTTAAACGTTCAATCTAACTTTATCAGAGAATTATTTTGATCGAAGCAGCGTTATGCAATATATTTCCCTCGATTCTTGTTTATTTATTTTGTCTTCTTATTCTTCTTTAATTAATTCTATAGCTACACTTCTCAGTTTCTCATTTTTACAAATGATAATATACACACTTTATAAAGAAAAGAGAAAAAAAAAAAAAATAAGACGAAAGTCGAATATTCGCTATTAGTTTAATGCATGCGACGTTGTGTTATTTTGTAGAACATCTTAAACGCAACTAATCCAGTTTTTCATGTGGACGTAAGTGAACAAGCGAGTACCCAGTAGTTTTTGACGGAGAGATCCTTTATTGAGACAATTTAGGCAGTCTTGCTTATACATAGACCGACGATCGACAAAAAACGACGCTCGTTTTATTGTCCTCAGTCAGTCGCGAACACTGTAGAACACTGATTTCGTGTCTATAGTCTGGGTCGAAGATTTCTCGCGCCTGAGGTCGCTTCCCCCCCACTACCGGTCGCGCCTAGAGACCTGGCCACTCTTACTACACGAAGTGAAGCATAATTTTGTTACATAGAATAACTTAGAAAATTGATACATTCCTTTTTATCACAGTTTTATGAATAAAAGAATAAATTTGAGCCTCCTTGAGCAACGAGATTTTCTACTCAGGCTATAGTAGCTAACGCAGCTTCCCTAGTTATAGTGAATAATTTTCTAAGATTGTGTGTTTGCAGTTCAAAGGTACCTCACGCGTAAATCATCATGTAAAATTCATCCTCATTGATCTTTGTGATGGAAACAACCCATACTAGACAACTAAATTTGCTTTTGTCACGTTGTGTGCCTTTGAGACGACACATCTTATGTACATGTTGACCAAGTGGATTTTCCGGTTTACTAATAATCATTTTTGCGGATTTCTTGTAGAAGGACGAGGTTTATCTGAACCTAGTGCTGGAATACATACCCGAAACTGTGTATAAAGTCGCTCGGCATTATAACAAAAGCAAGCAGACCATACCGATCAATTTCATCAAGGTAAGTGCACATTACATCATGAATTATTCAATACAATTCTATTTTCAAAAAGATTAAACTTAACAAAAATCGTAAATCGTCAAAAGTTAATAAGAAATGAATAAATCATAAATCATTCGATAGAATTTTTAACGATATATGATTTTTTTCACTCCAATCTTTTTAAAAATAGGATTCAAAAATTTCTAAATCAAAAAATGAACACTTTTCACCTACATTTCCCACAAACGTATTTAAAATCTTCCTCATTTTGATCTGTTACAAAAATGTTGAGTCACCTCGCTTCATTCTGCTAAATCACCTGTCATAAAGTTCATTTATCGTACAATTACCTACAATGATTCACGCACCTATTTATAGGCTCCATTTAGCAATTTTGCTCGAATTTAATCCAACGCTCATCATAATCAGAGTAACGTTTATAACAACGATTCTAATTTCAACACGTGTTTATACGTTTCCAGCTATATATGTACCAACTGTTCCGTTCTCTGGCGTACATTCACTCGCTGGGGATCTGCCACAGGGATATCAAGCCACAGAACCTCCTGTTGGACCCAGAATCTGGTGTTCTGAAGCTTTGTGATTTTGGCTCGGCCAAACACCTGGTCAAGGGAGAGCCCAATGTGTCTTACATCTGCAGTCGTTACTACCGCGCGCCTGAGCTGATCTTTGGTGCTATAGATTATACCACAAAAATTGGTATGTTCACTCTGGGTATAAGGATTAGTCAATTTTTGCTTAGCTTACGTTATTTCACTTGTACCATTGACAATGAGTTTAGGAAAACTAGCTGGAATTTTTGGAAATTTAAGTATTAAACAGGCAAGTTCTAAAGTAGAGCTCACTTAGTAATACTTTTGCTTATTTTTACCTAGTTTATATTATCCTATTCTATCAACTACTGATTGTTTCACTTTTATCATTGACGATGAACTTAGGGAAACTAGCTTGAATTTTTGAAGATTTAAATGCTAAATAGGCAAGTTCTAAAGTAGAGTAATAATTCTTTGACCTATTTTTGAACCCTTTACACTCTACTAATATTTTTATATTTTCTTCCACTAACTCAATAAATGTACATGTAATTTATTATGATAAGTCTACAGTCACTTTTTTGCTGAGATGAAAATGAAACATTAGATTTTATCATTTGTCCGTCAAATAAAAATTTCATAATATTTTAAAGTGTGAGTTGTCAGAGTACTCGTAGATAGAGTTACAATTCATATCACTTCTAAACTTTCCATTGATAGTGTATGTCACGTTATCCTCATTTCAATCACTAGAACTTTTCATACAAATTTTCATAAAATAATCAAACTTGGCATAAATGAATGCATTAATACAGCCATGCTTAGCATAGATACATCAGTAGAACTTACTACATGAATTCTCACAAAATAATTAAACTTTGCAATAAGAATACTCTACTATTTAACCATTTTCAAGCAACTGAATTTATGTGCTCTAAAGAAGACGTTTTATTATGTTTGTAGACGTGTGGAGCGCAGGTTGCGTAGTAGCAGAACTACTGCTTGGCCAACCGATATTCCCTGGTGATAGTGGTGTAGATCAGCTGGTCGAGATCATCAAGGTCCTGGGCACACCGACCCGCGATCAGATACGTGAGATGAACCCCAACTATACCGAGTTCAAATTCCCACAGATTAAGGCGCACCCGTGGCAAAAGGTAGCCCATCAACTGATCTAATCAACGTAGTACTACACGCTGTGCACAAAACATTAGACTGTCGAGACGTTATTCTTCTTTGTGCTCTTATATCTCTCCTAATTTCGTGACTGCATACGTATGTGTTGTGACTAACGAGGGAAACACATGGGGTTAGTCTGGTTTGATCTGAGTGTTTTGTTGAAGTGGATAATCCACTGAGGAATGTTATGTTAGTCACTGAAGGTGAAAATTGTTATTGAACCAATGTGGATTTCGTGTGAAAAGGAAATCAGAATGTCAAAGATTCGGTACCTTGTGCATTTAAAGTGTCTCTTTCTATCATTTCTTTTAAAAACATTCTGTGGAAATTGTTAATTTTCTTGTGATACTGAAAGTGTCAAAGGTAGAATTTGATATCAACTATGAAAATTGAACCTTGCAATTAAGATCAATGCACATACCTCACTTGAGCCCCTTGTAAGAAACACAGCAAGCAGTTAGGTTACTTGTGGTCACACGTTGCATGAGAAAAATACAAAAAAGAAAAGAATGAAAAGAGAAGGATTAAGGTGTTATTCCTCAACCTCGTTTCTTCTGGCTAAAAAAAAAAATGAGAAACGATTTCGCGCTGTACGCAAATTGACTCTAAATCACATTCATCAACACATGGTTAATCGTGGTTACAGTTTATGCTTCAGCGAATGAGTGGACTAAAGTGTTCCACGGAGCACCAAAAGATTAGAGTAAGTGGTCCCCTGTTGGAAGGCAACGTTTCTTATTATATATTCACATTTATATATTGGCTGGCAAATATTCCTCCCTATAGTTTTTTTTATTTTCTTCTCTAGCCCGTGATATTTTTGACTAACCTGTATAACCAACAATTTTCAGCGTCTGAAATGGTTAAAATAAAGCGGGACTATCGTTAAACGTCGAACGGAAGGGCGACGAGCGCCGAACCCAAAAAAAAAAACGCCACGATTCATTTCGATCCTCCGCATCACAAACTCGCTCAACGTGCGCCTTATCTCGAAACTTACGTGCAGTATCCATTTTTATATCGCATATAATTGTCATTGTTGTCACAGTTCATCTTAACGAACTTCCTAACGATTTAAAAAAATAAATAAAGAAAGAGATTTTGACGTTACATTTATTCAAAATCTCAGTAGTGTATCACTTACTCTAATATTCTGGTGGTGAACGAAGGTATTGTTCAGTGTCTTGAGAATAAAACACAGTGATTTTTTTTCCTGTTCTTTTCTTTTTTAATTTATAACGAGTGTGACGAGAGATTGTGAAAAATTGACTGACTATTTGCAAGATTTAAGTTTTATTTTTCTGCATTCAGAATGACAAATCTTGCTGGTACCATTCCTGTTACTTTTTATTGATCTTTCCATCTTTCCCGATCTCTCTCTCTATAAAAAAATTTTTATTTTCTCTTTGAGTAAACATGTTTTATTGAAGAGAAAAAAACAGTATAAGTTGAATGAATCTGACTTTATCAGATCAATAGAACAAGTTTCAGAATCGAAGCATCTCATACTACTAATACTTGATGTAATACTCTTAATATACTGAAAGTGTGAAACTTCAAAGTGCAAACTTCTAAGCGGAACGTGCTGCTGCCATTTTTATCGCTTTCTATCATAGAACTCATTCAGTCTGTGTTGCTGTGCGATTCTCTATAGTGGAGGTAAAAGATTCTGACCAATTAAGGCAGTTTATGATTCAAAGCCACTGTATTAAAAAGAAAGAAAAGATTACTACTGTGTTCAAAAAGTTCCAGAATAAATTCTTTCTTTAATTATGCGGTATGGTACACAAAGAATTCCTACCGACTGATCGAACAGTCAATGAACAATACTATTTTGGTGTTGTTTGTAAAGCGTTTGCGTGATTCAGTCCACAAAAAAGGTCTAGCTTTATGGGAATATAACTGATGGATTATGTACCATGTTATGAAACGCTGTTTTAAGTCACTTCAGGCGATGAAACAAAATTCACTCAACGAGCTAAAAGACATTCCAAAAATCGAATTCCAGTGATACTATGAAGATCAGAAAAACCGTTGACATACGTGCATTACAAGTAATAAGGATTATTTTCAAAGCGACCAAATAGACATTGCTGAACTTACGAATGATTTATTCTGAAACTTTTTGATCAGAGCAGTATTCTTTGTGAAGAAGAATTAAGTTTCTAAACTTCCCTCTACTATAGCTTAGACCCAGCAAAGGAAAGTCCTCAACATTTCCAACTTAAACATAATAACAAAGAAAAGCTGATGTTGAAAAGTGAGACTATTTAAAGACTTTCCTTTGTTGATCACAAAATAATCATTAAAAATATTCCAAATACACCAAAATACAATCAAAGTATAACTAAAAGTCTAATAGGTCAACTATGACATTTTCCAGGTATTCAGGGCACGCACGCCGCCGGAAGCAATGGAGTTGGTGGCCAGGCTGCTAGAGTACACGCCATCCGGTCGAATCACGCCCCTAGAAGCGTGCGCTCATCCGTTCTTCAACGAGCTACGAGAACAGGGCACGCGGTTACCCAATGGAAGGGAGCTACCCCCTTTATTTAACTTTACAGAGTATGAGCTACGAATCGACCCGGAGCTGAACTCGATCCTGAAGCCGAAGTACATGCAGACCTCGGAGAATCCTGGTGGCCAGTCGGAACCGGTCGCGGGGAGTAGCGGTAACTCTAGTGATAATAACGTGAACACCAACACGCTGTCCACCTCAAAGAACACAGACCCCGGCCAGTCGAACATGGCTTAATAAGCTGGTTTCTATTTTTCAACAAAAAAAAAGAAAATAAATAAATAAATAAAAATAAAAAACTAACGTAATTCAAACAACAGACAGACAACAACAACAACAACAACAGAACCGAGAATTCTTCATGTGTTAGAAAACTAGCCTTAAATGAAAACGAAAAATGATGAAAAAATACGGAAGTACGGTAGAACGAGAGAGGATGATACCGCAAGGGAGAGAAAGGGAGAGGAAATAATGTCAAAGGTGAATAGAGAAGCGTGAGAAATATTCTTCTGAGGAGGATGTCTGAAGTAAAAGAGAACAAACAAAACAAAGTAACGAGAGAACAGCAGAAACAGATAACACGTACACAACACTCTCATCCCCCTCCCCCCCAGGTTGTAAATTTTTCTCGAGACTCTCGATATATTACAAG